CTTTTTTTTTTTAAAAAAAAAAAGGAAACATCTGCATTGAATTCAAAATGGTCGCTTCAAGTTTGAAACATTGATTCCATTGAAATCCTCTACTTGATTCTAGATACTAATTCATTTTTCTGAATTATTTTTTTTTAAAGGAGAAAACTTTCTGCAAGCATCTGTTTCATCCCCATCTTCAGCCTGATCAGCCAGTCTGATCTGATTGGACTTTCAATAAAATTGCCTTCTTATTGAAAGTCCAAATCAAAGCTATAAATTGCATCTACAAAGGATGATGCTTGTGTCTCTTGGATTAAGAGACCTTGATTATTTTTTTTTGTTGTTAGTTGTGAAGTCGTGTCTGACCCATTGAGACCCCATGGACAACGTTCTTCCAGGCCTACCTGTCCTCTCCCATCCTCTGGAGTCCATTTAAGCTCATGCCGACTGCTTTGGTGACTCTATCCAGCCACCTCATTCTCTGTCGTCCCCTTCTTCTTTTGCCCTCAATCGTTCCCAGCATTAGGCTCTTCTCCAGTGAGTCCCTCCTTCTCATTGGGTGGCCAAAGTATTTGAGTTTCATCTTCAGGATCTGGCCTTCTGAAGAGCAGTCAGGGTTGATCTCCTTTAGGACTGACCAGTTTGATCGCCTTGCAGTCCAAGGGACTCGCAGGAGTCTTCTCCGGCACCATAGTTCAAAGGCTTCAATTCTTCGATGCTCAGCCTTTCTTATGGTCCAACCTTCACAGCCATCCATTGCAACTGGATTTTTTTGCCTTAGCACCACATATAATCCAGACACAGAAATTTACTACGGTCTTTTATCTCTCATATTTGTTGTAGAACACCTTCAGTTATCGCATGGAAATATGCAAGTATAAGTTGACTTAATTTAGGCAATTCTCAAAGGATTTGCAATTGTGTTCCTTGTCTCCTCTGCCTTATTGATTGTTGTTTTCATTCAACCCAACAACTGGGTGTTCTTGTAGGAACAGAACCCACAGCTGCAGCAAAGAGGAGGCTTCAACCAAGAAGAATAAAAAATATAACTCAAAATCCCCAGAGGGCGTACAAGAGAATTCTTTGGAACTATCTAAAGGTACGGCATACTTTCAGCCAAGCCAAGAATACCCAGGAACGTTTATTCTGTTTATTCCCAATACTTGGAATAAACATGTTATTTCAGACACTCCTCTCCTTCTCCAAGTCCTGAATCCTCACTCAAGAGAAACGTGGAGAAAATGGTAAGAGTTGGAAAAAGTAAGAAGGCGGGCGTGGGCAGGGGCCACCCAAGATTTTTGTCACTGGTTCAGAGAACTGATGCCAATCGTCCCTGCCAGTTTGGCCGAACTGGGAGGATTTCACCCCTGGTTCCATCCCTTATTGTGATAAATTTGTACCAAACCATTCTCGTTTACATTTTCTTTCCCAGATGGTAGGCAACAAGAGCTGAGCAGTCCAGCAGGGAGCTTTCCAGGCAAGGATTCAGAATGGCAGCTGCTCCAGGCCCACCAGAAGATCCGTGAGCTGGCCATCAACATCCGTATGAAAGAAGACCTGATAGGAGAGCTCATTAAAACAGGTACAGAGCTGTTGAGCTGTTGTTGAACTCAACTCATGCTTGATCCTTTTCCTTCTGTTCTTCAAGGCCATTCTTCATGGCCTCTACAACAATCCTACCTCCCCATGTCATCTGTTTCTCTTCTTCACTGCTTGTGGAAAAGGCTAGCAGAACTTTCTCTTGGAATATCAGACTTTGCCTTTTTCTTCTTTGTTTGCTGTATCTTTCGGCATCATTCTTCCCCTTCTTTCTAATTCATTTGATATCCAACTTTTCTGTTCAGGAGGTAGCTCTGTGGGCTGATCTTCTCCCATGTCACTGTTCTGACCTAGGTTTCCCAAGAGCATGAAGCAGACTCCTCATCCCGATAAAACCCCTAATTTAGTTTAAAGTGAATTCCTCTCCAGCAAAGTCCCGGCAAACAGTCTTCCATGAGATTTCACAACTACAGATCTTTATCAGGCTTGGAGAATGGTGAGGCCGATATCTTCCAAACACCACACTGTAGCAGCAATTACCTGGCAAGAAATCAGGAACAGATCTTCACCCTAATGAATTGAACTAATTGCCTCCTGCAAACTCCACTCCCCTTACGCTCCTCTTATTGCCTATGGGTGGAGCCATTTACCGTCCACCTGTGGCTTTACTCCCTAATCAACCCTTGTTCCTTAGCTGTTCCCCTCCCCTGGCAGCTCTGCACATGCACACATGGAACAGGCTCCAGCTGTTCTTCTGCCTCACTTATTTCAGATTCCAAAGGCAGCTGATAACTGTCAGATGTCCCTGGCCTCATCTCTGCCTCCGATGCAGAGCTCTCATCAGAGCCTTCCCCAGACTCCAGGACTGGCCCATGTTCCTCCTCAACCTCCCCATTGTCTGAGTCAGCCAGCAGCTCTGCTGGCGGGCCACAAGAGTCACATACGTCTATTTGTTTCAGGCAAGCATGCTCAAGCCATGAACAAACAG